ATCATTGCACATTCCATAAAGTGGTGTGGAGTTTAATTCAAGTCTTTTAACTTGTTTAGTCCATGCAAAAACCACCCACTATCCACATCAGATTGATAATATTTGTCCAAATTAAAAATCACCTTTAGTTCATCTATACTCTGACCAAGATTAGCTTCCAAAACTTGATTCACCCACCTCAAAAAGTTTAATCCTTCTTCGGGAATAGGTTTCTCATCTCCCAACATCCTCTTCATTGCAAGATAATCTTCAAAGATCAAGACAGGGAAACATCGCCACATGTTATCTCATTTATGAGAAAGAACACTAGTTCTTGCTGCTTCCTTCATTGTTAAGAAGGACATGATCAAGAACAAGAGATCATCTGACAATTGATTCAATTGATCGTTCGTCTTATAACACTGAGTTTACAATTCCTCAATTAATATGATTTCTCCAATTACAATAAAACTTTGGTTTCTCTAAACATTCTATAATTAACTCTAGTTTCTTTAATCACAAGTTAATTGTAAATACAAACCCCTTCAAACATAACACCCAAAATTCAATTCTCTTCATCTCCCTGCTTCTTCTTCTGCTCCTAAATAGCCTTGTATCTCCTAGCTACAAAACGTCTGATCTTTCTCTTCTTCCACGGTGGTAACCCTTTCTTCCTCAGTCAAAATATTACTCCTCTTGTTAGTGTCATCTTCAATCACATCCCTCTTGAGAAACCTAATCGAGCGACGAGGTTGAGGATAGGCTTGGATGCACGACACATGCTCGGCAGGAGTGGACACATGAACCCTAATATTTGAATCCTTGCTACCATATTTGATGGCGTATCGGAATTCCAACCAAGAAGTGACAAGAAAACAGGGGCGGATTTATGTTCAAGGCAATGGGGTCAGTTGACCCCACTTAATTTTGTAAAACAAATATCTGTTACAAATATTTTAAAGATGAAGAAATAATAAGTTATTTAACATTGAATTATTTAATATGAGAAAAGTGATAATAATTTGGAAAATTTGCCGAGAATAAAACGACTTTTGGCCAGTTTTCCAAAAATAAAACGACCTTTCGATTATTCCAAAATAAAATAACCTTTCATAAGCATCTGCTCAAAATAGAATAAAAAAATCGGTAACCTATTTAATAGGTTTAAATCGGACAAATGTTACATTGTAATTGGTTAGAATTTTTTGTTTTTGTTTTACCTTTCTCCTTTTTAAAAAGGAAAATTTGTAAAAAAAAACACCCTTTTAAATGCCTCATTTTGCAAGAAAAAACCTTTAAAACGATTTTTTGTTTAAAAAAACCACCACGATCACTTTTTTTATTTAATGAAATCTGGGCTCTCTTTTCCGGCATTGACTTCCAATTTCAGGCGTTGACCCATGAGTTTTCCTACTTGCTGCCACTTATTTTGATAATTGCACTCCCCTTTTTATTTTTTCACTCTTAATTTCCCTCCAAAGAATTTCTTCTTTATTCTCTCTACCCTTTCCTCCACGAATGCTCTGCAACACTATCACATCAAATTGGGTTTCTCTCAGGTCGCCATTAATACTATGATCATAAATTGATGTAAGTGTAAAATCATCAGCTCTATACTCGAAATGGTAAGCAGCATCCCTCACCCCACAATACCACTGTTTCACCACTCACACCCACCGAACCAAACCCTCCTGCCATTAACGCCCAAATCGCAACCCACACCTCAATTCCCCACCCAACACTCTCCATGCCACCACCTTCATTATCCCTACAACAGAAGTCGCAATTGACACCGCAGCCCACCATTCACACCTCTCCTAGCACCGACCCACCACCAGCCGCCGCACACAGCAGCAACACTGCCAGCAGCACCACCAATCGAATTCGGCAGCCCCGCCAATCGTAGCAACAAGCACCAATTCAGCCCCAAATCGATGACCCATTAGAGCGGTCACCCTTCATTACGACGCGGGCGCTTCTCAATCATCCAATTTCATCAATTTCAGGCAGAAGCAAAGAGTGTCCGCTCCAATGGGTATGAGCGGCCGCTCCGTTTTATCGGGTCCAATTGCACGGAATTAAAAGAAATTGGACGGCTGCGATTAACTTACTCAAATCACGAGTGAGATCGGAGATGATGGTGTTTGAATTGGAGATTATGGCCGTCGATGATGATGATGCGTGGATGATGATGAAATCAGAGCAGCAAAGTGAATGAAGAAGAGGGGGGAATTCGTGGATTTGATTGTTTGGGAATTAGTGGGTTTTTGTTTTATTTCCCTTTATTTTCTATTTTCTTTTTTGTTTTATCCAAAAGTAGGCTGCAAGTAGGATAACTCATGGGTCAACGCCTGGAATTGGGAGTCAATGCTGGAAAAGAGAGCCCAGGTTTCATTAAAAAAAAAAGTGATCGTGGTGGTTTTTTTAAACAAAGAACTGTTTAAAAGGTTTTTTCTTGCAAAATGAGGCGTTTAAAAGGTTCTTTTGGACAAATTTTCCATTTAAAAATATGGATTTTTAATAAAATAAAAACAAATTTATTAAAAAACAAAATTTTTTCTCTCCCCTCCCTTCCTCCTCCCCCTCCCCCTCCCCATCAGTCATTTGATTGATCAGAACCAGTGAACCTCGCCACCTCACCTGCTCATCCACTCCATACTTCGTCCACAAGCTACCACAACCACCTTCCCCTCCTAGCTTCCTTTGCGTTGGAAATCGATAACCACCACTACGGCGACCCCTTCACAAATGTAGCCCCCCGCCGACCAACTCTTTCCTTCGAACTCCCACCTTGACCTCGTCAAGAGCAACGGCGATTCTTGTGGGAATGGCGAGGTGTGCTGGAGGTGGTGTTCATCGACATGTGTGGTGCAGGTGTGGGGATGGAGTGGTGGGTGCGGTGATTTTTGAAGGACGAGTGAGGTAGTGGGTCAGTTTTCTGGTGGTTTTGGGGAAAGGGAGGTAGGATGGGTGGGTTATCTAGTGGTTTAAGGGTAAGGGAGATGGGATTTTTGGTGGTTTCCGAGAGGTGGGGAAAGGTAGGGCATTGATGGTGGTGGTGGGTGGTCAGTGAAGGGCAGGGGTTGATGGGGTGGTGGCTTGTTTTTTATTTTTTAATTAAAATCAATTCTTTGTAAAAGAACAATGTAAAAAAAAAAAAAAAAAAAAAGAAGCTACCATTCACATTGCAACACATGTCCAATTAACCTGTTAAATAAGTTATCAATAGGTTACATTCTATTTTGAGTAAATGTCTGTCAAAGATTGTTTTATTTTAGAATAATCAAAAGGTCGTTTTATTTTTGGAAGAATGCTCAAAGGTCGTTTTATTCTTGACAAATTTTCCTACAAATTAATGATTAATTTATCAATATCAATAATTTGATGTGTCAATAATGTCCAATATACACTAATAGAAAAGTGGACATTTGCTACGGTTTTTTTTTTCGGGGTATTTGCTATGGTTTTGAACCGTAAAAGTAGTGAGCATAGCAAATAAGGTAAACAATTTGCTACGGTTTAAAACCGTAGCGATTTTTTAATTTTCTGTTACAGTTTTTTTTAGCAAACCGTAGCGTTTTATAACTTTTGCTACGGTTTCTTAAGTATAATCTTTGCGTTTTCCTTACATATTTGTTTATTTATTTATTTTTTTACAAAAATTAGCAACCTGCAACCTATATATATATAGGGATATTTTGGATTTTAACACCTTACAAAAGGCTGAAAATGTTTTTTAACACCCCCCAAAAAAAAACTTTTATTTTAACACCTCCCAAAAATATAAAAGTTGGAAGTTAACACCAAAATCCATCTTCCGTTAACAGAACTGTTAGTGGGGCCCACCCCAACGGATATATTTTTAAAAGATCTGTATATAAGAACCATTCTTCCACGATTCTTGCACGATATATAAGAACCATTCTTGCACGATTCTCCCCCAATGAACGAAATTGTTGTTCTTATTGAATAGCAGCAGCGCATTGCATTGTTGCACGATACTTGAAACAATTCTTTCACGATTCTTCCACGATTTTTGAGAAGAGGAACAGATTGAAGCTGCTGAAACAGGTGAGTGCGGTCAATTGTTCGGTTGTTTGGTAATTATGGTTTAAATTCTCTTCAATTATTATTTGCAATTGTTTCGTACTCAGATTAATGGTTGGATTATGTTATGTACGCATCTAAATGCCCAATTGCGAAATTAGGGTTCGTCAGAAATTGAATTTGGGGCTTTTCGTATTATGAAATTAAAAATGAATTTTGTTGCTGTCAATGTTAATTCGTCAGTGTACAAATCTGACGAATGTGACTGTCGATCTAAAATTGATGCAGATTATGTCGTTTGTTAGCTCTTCCCCTCCTGAGGCCAGAAAATGTAAGTGTGGTGTGCCAATGGCCAAGCTCACTAGCTGGACAAGGGAGAATCCAGGCAGGAAGTTCATATCATGTAAGTTTTATGACCCAATAACAGAAACAAGGGGTTGCAAAGCTTTCGAATGGGTTGATCAACCTGATGGAACAGATTGGCAAACAGGGGTTATCAACAACCTGTTGTTGGATAAGAAGCTGCTAAAGGGTGAAGTTAATGAATTGAAAAGGGAAGTTGATGAAATCAGTGGCCAAAGGAGGTGCCTACTTAATGAAGTTGATAATTTGAAGATGAGATGCAAGGCCTTGAACGCTGACAGGAAGAGAATGAACAGGGAGTGCAATGAAGGGAAGGTGTCTTCAATCAGCTGTTTTGGTTGGGTGGGCATGGCCATTTGTATAGGTTTGTCAATGGGTGTAATTTTCCTAATGGCTAGGGGTGTGTAATAGTAAGCTGTATTAAGTAGTTATAATTTCTTGTAATGACTTGAAGTGTTATAAATATGTCTTTTAATCAACCTATTTATGCCTTGTCTAAGTTCCTATTTATGCCTTGTCTTTTAATCAACCTATTTAAACATGTGAAACATTAAAACATGGGAAATATGTGAAACACTAAGATAGTTCAAGTACAGGTTGACAAAAGAACCTTACTTCAACATGTTTCAATGGCAATCAAAGCCATGCAACCATTACAATTCAATATCTAATTGTTCAAATTTGTTAAGGGAAGCCACTAAAAAACTAGCAAGTTACATAACCAGTCATGAGTACATAATAAAAGTTTGAAATTGTTCAACAGACATAATGTTTGATATCCAGCATGAGTACATCACTGAGTAAGGTTGTTGAGGGATTGCAGCCTGGCCCTTGTTACAACACCTGTGGCTGTTGTAGGCTGACTTGAGGAAGACCTTGTCTTTCTTTTTGGTTGGCTTGAGGCAGGCTGACTTGAGGAAGGCTGAGCTGAGGATGGCTGACTAGAGGATGGCTGAGCTGAGGAATGCTTAGCTGAGGAAGACTGTGGCTGTGGGCGCTTGCTGAATGGCAGACAACCTTCTTGCTCTTGAGGAAACTTTTTGTTTCCTATGCTGTTTGGTCCAGCCCCAATTGCACTCTATGACATGCATATAAAAATAAAAAGTCAATGGAAAAGACACATACATATATAAAACAAAGGGGGAGTTGGTGTAATGCTTGTGTTACCTTTTTAGCAGCCCTAATCTCTTTCTTCTTCCTCTCCTCCACCATCCAAGGAGTGTTCAGTGGGGGTCTGCCTGCTGACTTTATCAGCTCTGTAGCTGGTGCAGCAGGTACTTTGCAAGTCTTGGCATAATGCCTATATCCCCCACAGTTGCTGCATTGCTTCTTCCTCTTGGTACTTGCCTGACCACCTGAAGAAGAACATTCTCCTGGCTCAAGCTTCCTTTTTTTGCTCTTTGGTCTCCCAGGTTGCACCTTAACAGAAGGGGGTAGTGGTTCCCTCATTCTGACTGTCTCCCAGTGCTTTGGGCCAGGCATTGGTTGGACAGCTGGTTCATAAGCAGACCTGTATGTGTCCATGCGTATGGGTCAACAACAGCCTCTATGTCACCCCTCATATCCAATATGCAGGCATAAGCATGAACACATGGAATGCCAGTGAGTTCCCAATGGTAACATGTGCAGGTCTCCTTGTCCAAATCAACCAACACCTGGTCATCCTTCAGCTGCACCTCAAATGTATTCCCTCTGGATGGCTGCACCACACAGGACCTAGCCACAAAGTCTATCCTCCCCAGAACATGCCTCACATATGGCACTAAGTTGTGTGTAATTGTTTTTGAATCCTCCCACTTTTCATTATTCCTGTTCATAATATACCTCCTCATCCATTCCATTTGGGTGAGGATAGGTTTATCTCTGGCAGGCCTAATGACTGCATTGAAAGTCTCACACATGTTGTTCAACAACATGTTGGACTTGCAGTTTGGTGTGAATGCATGTCTAGACCAATGGTGGGGAGGAATGTTGATTAAATACTCATATGCCTCTTCATCGAGGAATTTGATAGACTCCATGGCAATTTCATGCTCAAACTGACATATAAAAGCATACCAGAAATCACACCAAGCATATACAAGCTAACCAATATAAAAACACACCAACAGTCATATAAAAGCATAGGCTAGCTTCAACAATCAATAAACTTACAATGGTGGTGGCCCTAGCTGCTCTCCAAAACAGCTCCTTAAAGGTTGATCCAGTGAAGTTGAGCTTGAAGTTAGCCCAAATATGCCTCACACAAAACCTTTGCTCAGCTTTGGGAATAACATCAGCCATTGCTTTAATCAAACCCTACCAAATGCAGACAAAAGTATAATCATCAGTCAATCACATACATACACATGAAAACTTAGAAATTGAACCTAAATAGTTAAGAGGGAAACAGAAGCATTACCTTTTGCCTGTCAGACATGATGGTCAGCCCAGCTCCTTGATCATGTGTGAACATTGACATAAGGGATTCCAAGAACCAACCCCAAGTTTCCTGGTTTTTCAATCTCCACTGTGGCCCAAGCTAGAGGAAACAAGTTGTTATTCCCATCCTTAGCAACTGCCACCAGAATTTGCCCAGGAAAGGCACCCTTGAGGTGACAACCATCCAACCCTATTAAAGGCCTACAACCCTTTGCAAATCCATCTCTCAATGGCCTTAAACAGATGAACATCCTCATGAACAATGGTGGCTCTGGCCTGTCAATACCATCAACAACAACATTGCACCCTGAACCAGGGTTGTACTTCATCACAGCTTTCCCATAATCCCACACCCTAGCATACTGCTCCCTAGCTGAACCAAATATCAGTAGTTTTGCCCTACACCTAGCTAGCCATGCCTTATAGTAACTCACATCAACTCCTAAATCATTCAAAATCCTAGCCCTAATCTCCTTAATTCTCCAACCAGGGTTACTCCTAAACTCTTCTAAATACCTCTCTGCTATGTATTCAGCAGTAAGCATCTTGTTCTTCTTTACTCTGAAGCAGGAATGGTCTAAATTCAAGGTTTTGATTTGCCAAGTTTGCTGCTTAACAAGTTTTGATGCAAACACCTTGAACTGACACTTTACCCCCCCCACACATGTACAAGCAGGCATTCTACAAGTGTAGCTATTGAACTCACAGCCACATCTATATCTACACTGAACTGTAATCCTTTTACTGTCATTATGCAAGTAGTAGAACTCATACCTGTTTTGAATGGCATGAAGTCTTAAGGCCCTCCTCAAGACTGAAGCATTACTGAATTTCTGATTTAACTTCAACTTGATTGGGTTGTCAAAGTCCACATCAGCATTAAACCAAGGAGCATAGTCCTGTTCCTCATCAGATCCACACAAACTCCTTGAATCATCTGAATCAGCATCACTTTCTGGATTCACCTTCGGTTTTCCAACATCCAAATCATTTCTCAACTCTACTCTCTTATCTTTGCCAACCCTGTCATCTACTGCACTCTCCAAACCTTTCCTAAGGCTCTTGTTCACTTTGGCCAAGATCTCCTTTGACCCTTCAATATACCATTCCTCATCCCCTTCATCAAATTCTTCTTCACCAGGTTCCCAATCTTGTCCCTCATCACTCAAATCTGAACTTGAATAACCAGATCCTTCACATCCATCATCCTTTTCTTCATCAAACCTCAACACTTTAGCATTAGCTGAGGCTTTCCTAGGTGGACTCTCCTCCCTTTGTTCAGTTTCTGTCTTCTTAAACCTAGGGCTCCTCCTAATAGTCGATGTATTTGAACTTTCTACCTTCTTATCCTTTTTTTTTTGTCTTTGCAGGATTGGGTTGGGCCTCTTGTATGGGCTGACTAGGAGCTTCTGTTGTTACAAAAACCTCAACATACCCCTCTTCATTTACTGTCTCCAAAAGGCCCTTAACCTCTTCACTGTTAACTAGTTCCCTTTTCCCAGTGTTAAAGGTTTTCCCCTTCTGCCTATACCAACAGCTGTAATGCATAGGCACATCCATATCACCATTAACAAAACCATGAATTGCAGCTGTTCTAATCAAATGCACATCCAACTTAGATACTTGAACCTTCCTCTTCCAGTAACACCAACCACCACACCAACACAGCAGCTGCCTGTTTTTGGTTACTCTTTTAGGGACAAAAGCACCTCCCACTCTAAGGCAGATGTCAACCAAACTATCCTTGTCACCCATTATCTACCCACCAGTGAAAAACATATAAAACATATTAAAAGCCATGTAACTATACATGCACAATACGAATAAACAAATCCATCACAGCCACACAAACAAACACATAAAAAAATTGAAAATAAACATATACAAGCCAATGTAGGTGCTCAGTAACATAAATTAATCAACAAACCACACTTGCTAGTTTAATTAACAATAAACCACCTTAATTAATCTCTACTTTCAATTACGAAATCCAATTAACCTAAGTCGCATAGTCAGTTACAGAAATTGATTTATCAAGGCTTTCCTACTGTGGTCCCAAAATTTACCCTAATTACCCAATTATTGCAAGGTTTACAGCAATGAAGCACCAGTAATTGACGAAATTGCTATCAAAGGAGAGCAATTTTACCTTATTTTCTGTGAATTTCAAGCGGCTTTCGCACTTTTGTAGTTGAAGAAGATGATGAAGAAACCCTCCTGAGCTTATCTTCTCCAACGTTGACACCACCCTACACTCCACTTCTCAGCCAAGATCTCCTTTGGTTCAAAAGCGAAATCAATGAAGGTTCAGAAAGAATTCAATGCAGAAGGTTGCTGCGAATTCAATGAAGAAAGAAGTTTCGTGTTTTGCTGGGTGAAAATTGAAGTTCAAGCCAATTTGTGGGACCCACGTTAAATTTCCGTGACGGAAATCGTTAACTGGTGTTAACTTCCAACTTTTATATTTTTGGGAGGTGTTAAAATAAAAGTTTTTTTTTGGGGGGTGTTAAAAAACATTTTCAGCCTTTTGTAAGGTGTTAAAATCCAAAATATCCTATATATAGCTACAAAATGTGTGTTACAAAGTATAATTAACAAAACATTCATCAAGTATATTTCTAATCTAAATTCCAAACTAAACTAGAAACGACGCATGAAGTACAACAACAAGCATCGGTAAAAAACTGGGCTAACTTGTCTCGAATTTGGTCGATCTTTGAAATAGTGAATGACCCTTTTCTTGCCGTCTTGAAACCTAAAATAAGACAAATTATAAGAGAGGTATATTATAACATAACAAAAAAATAAAGGCATAGAAATTTATGGTATAGAAACTCATAAATAAGTACTTAAGGCATGGTTTAGGTGTACTTTATTCATATACATTAAAACATGGAAAATGGGAAAGTTACAAGTCATTTTGCCCATTTTGGAACCTTTTTAGTCTTATATGTACTCTATAAATTAGGTAACTTTGAATATTTATGAGATTGCAAGTCATAGAATCACATAACTAAGTACTTTAGACATGATTTGAGTGTTATTTTACTCATTCACATTAAAACGTGGAATTCAGGCGAATTCGAAGTCATTTTGCTAATTTTAGTCTACTTTGGTCTCAATAAGTCTATAAACTAAGTAAATTGGCATATTAATGGTATTCAAAGGCATAGACACTTATAACTAAGTAATTTAGACATGATAAGAGTGTTATTTTACTCATTCACTTAAACACATAGAAAATGGGCATGTTAGAAGTCATTTTGCTCATTTTGGGACCATTATGGTCATGTTTAGTTCCAAAACTAAGTAACTTGGTACATTAATGGTATTATTGTTCCTAGATACTCATAACTAAGTAATTTAGACATGATATTGACGAGGGTTAAATCGGTCGCTACAATCTAACTCTCAATCAAACAATACTTATACGAACACCCTATAACCAAGTACAATGGCAAATAAAGGTTCGGTCCACGAGGAACGAGAGTAATTGCAAATCAATCTTAAACCTAAGCTAGTTCGAAATCAATGGAAAATGGTGTTCTAAAATACTACTAATAAGATGGAATAAATCAATAAACTAAGACACTAGGGAGAACGGGAATCCGCCTAACCATTGGTAACTAAGCAACAAGGAATCACAGAGACAAACGGGATATGCAAAGATTATAAGTCTGATCAATATCATGTGATAGGAAGACAACGGGCAATACTAAGCTTGGATTTCTCATGCACTTAACATTACTCGATACATAATCAAACCACATTCAATAATGAAATACTCAATTCACAATCTCTTGTTCAAATCAAGAATATCATGCAATCAAATTCAAGATTCTAGGTTAGCTACTCCTATTATAATGAATTAACATGCAATCGCATATAATCAATTTAATCACAATCCGTTTATCAAAATCAATCCTCAATTACATAGATTACCTAGGCCGGGTTTCATCCCGAAACCCTAGCTAGGAGACTACTCACACATATTCATAATCAAAGCAATAATGAATTCCAAAAGCATAATAGATATAAACATGAATTCTGATTAAGGAATAATAAAGCTTGATTAATAAACAAGAATGAATAATACCAATTGTATTGATGCGAATCAATGGAAAAGTTCAGAACTTTGATATCCGTCGTCAATGAATAATACAAAGAATCTTCGCAAATCTTGCTTCAAATCAATCCAAGAAAACTAAAATCTCTAGAAATATCTCTAAGAAAACTAATGAATCTCTAATACTAAGAACGTTCTCCAATAACTCTCTACAAAGGCTCTCAAAACTATCTCTAAAAAACTATCTCTTAACCCTTACAATCGGGCTATATATATATATGTTTTAAATCGGAAAGTAAATCGCAGGCTGCCCTTTGTGAATCGGCACGGACGTGCTGGAAGTGGCACGGTCGTGCAAGCATGGCAGTAGCTGATCCGCAATATCTTCAATTATGGCACGGCCGTGCTAAATTTGGCACGGCCGTGCTAATGCCTGGCACGGCCGTGCTGAATCTGGCACGGCCGTGCTGAATCTGGCACTGGCACGGGCATGGAAATTGGCTTGGCACGGCCGTGCTAATTCCTGGCACGGCCGTGCTAAAAGTGGCACGGCCGTGCAGCATAGGCAGGAAGGTTGCAAGCACTTTGGTCTTCTTAAAACAATCACAACTTCTTATCCAGAGCTCCGTTTGAGGCGTGCAATATATCGTTGGAAAGCTCTTCAAGTCTACTTTTTAATGCAATTGAAATCACTCCATTATCATTTGTATACCGAAAGTTGTGAGCAAAATAGTGAACAGGTGTCATATTTGTGAACTGTTCTGCCTTGCCTGCTACTTAACTTGCCTTTCAAGGCCTTGAGAACCGCAGCAAAGCCTTAGCTTGGTGGACTAGGATCGATAATAGCCTGATTACGCACCAATGGTTCGGGACTCGACATAACTTGGTCAAATATACCTGTTAACACACCAAAAACAGACCGAAACCCGTGAAGCACGTAATATGAAGGAAACGAGTGTAACAAGGCAATAAACGACCAAAACGGGCCTAA